GGTGTGTGTCAGTTGACGGCACTTAAAAAACAAATGGCATTGATAGCACATTCATTGTCAACAGCGCGTGGCCGAACCGTTTTGACATGAGCCGGTAACCGTTATTTTTTTTCCGGTTCAGTTCCGGTTCGGGTTCATCGCGATAACAATATAACGGTTCGGGTTCGGGTTCAGTTCCGGAAAAAATACCGGTTCGGTTCCGTTTTCGGTTCGGTTCGGTTCCGGTTCGACACCCTGGCATGATCAGTGATATCGGTGATTGCGATTTGAAGGCCGCTTCTCGTGCGACCAAAGCACTGGCAAGAGTGAAGCGCTCGTGCCCAGACCGTGCATGACGATGTTCAATTTCTTTGTTATGCTGTGTCAGTAAACACCGGGCTGTGGGGAAAACAAGCTCGATAAACACCCCCTATAGGGATTATTCACTGGCGGCCATGTCTGTGTGCGCGGCTGCTGAGCGCGTGCTCATGACGAGCTTCCACAGTTCTTTTGCAACTTGCATTCCGCATCATCAAGATTGCTGGTCTTAGCAGACTATCAATGTGAGCTCGTTCTGAGCATGCGCACTAAACATTGCCCTCAAATGTGGAGTCCAGTGAATACCCCCAATAGTTCGATCTCTTGCCCAACACTTCGTGTCAGGTTAAGTCCAGACGCAGCCGACGGTATACAAGCGAATGAGACCAACCAAGCAGCGTCAAAACCGCAAGTCACTGGGTCTTTCCTGTTTCTGATGGTTGAGCGATGATAGAACACGTACAGAAGGAAGACGAACAGTTAGATGGTGCTCTTTAGACGCCATTTATTCGGTGCCATCTGCTCGTAGTGTCGGCTGGGTCTGTGCCCAAGGTGAAACGAAGCATTGTTCTCGCAGTGCAAGATAGCACAACAAGGGTGCGCGGAAACTTCCTAGAGCGGCCGAAAAACACCGAATGCCAAAACCCTCAAAACACAGACGGAGATTCGAACTGAGCAGGTTTCAGAAGTCCAAGGAAGTGTCAGGCCAATCCTATCTTCTACGGGCCGCGAGAGTCGCAGCAGTAGAATCATCAGCAGCAGCATAGCAGCTGCCTAGCACCTTCGTCTTTTTTGTAATATTTTTGTTTTTTGTATGGAAAGGTGTATATGTACAGAATCAGAGTAGCGATGTGGGCGAGTTGGTTCATGCTTAAGGCGGACAAGGAGGGGGGGTTTGTTGTGCTCCCACAGGACATGTTAACGTCCAAGTCGAGCGCTGCAATTCAAAAACACTTTAAACTGACCTCCCTTGATCCCAAGAAAGTCAAGAGTGCCGCGCTGAAGTTGTGTAATAGTCTCGAGTTGTCTACTTTAGAGAAAGGCATTGGGAAAAGCAAGGCAGGGCACCTGGAAGTTTTCTTTTCTGTGAAAACTCACAAGTTGGGGCTGCCCTTCAGAACCATTGTTACGGAGAGGGGTGCTTGGCAGAAACTGGTAAGCCAGTACCTTCAGAAACACTTAGGTGCCCTGGAACTTTTTGACCCGTTTTTAGTGCGCAATTCACAGGCGGTTGTGGAGTATCTTAGCAATGGCGTACGCGCAGATGCAGCAGCGTTTTCCATTGATGTCGAGGATTTGTTTTATTCCGTACCCCATGAGCGCCTCTTTGCTTCGGTGCGTGAGTGTATCGATAGAAACGGGGTGATTCCATTTCAGAACGCAAGTGGGGTGGGGGTTGATGGCTTTCTGGAACTGTTGGAGTTTTATTTACAATCGACATTTGTCCTGTTTGACGGTGGTTACTATTTGCAGAACGAAGGAATATGTATAGGCTCAAGTGTAGCGCCCATTCTCTGCGACATTTATTTGGCCATGTGCGATCGAGCTATTGTAGAAAATTTGGACGGAAACAGCGTTCGGAAAGTGTTCAGATATGTGGACGATTACCTCGTGCTCACTAAATCGTCTGGGGGGGTCCTCGAGGATCAGGTTGTCAAAAAGGTGATGGAAGTTTTTGCAAAAAACTCTGGGGGACTTAGGTTTACTCATGAACTCCAAGATGGGTTCTGCCTCCAGTATTTAGATTTAAAACTACAGTTCACAGGAAGTCACGTATGTTGGGCCTACCATCCTCGTACGAAAAAGGAACTTCTGCCCTTCGACTCCGCCCACTCAAAGCTCGTCAAACGAAGCATAGCGTCTTCGTGTATGCAGGCTGCCCTTGATAAGTCCTGTCCCCATTCTATGGCAGAGAGCTTTGAACAGCAGACAGCGCGGCTTGCAGCAGGGGGATACCCTTCTTCTGTTTTGCTGGCGGTAGCGGAAACGCTGTTAAGGAAGATTAAGGGGGGACCTCATCAGCGGCTGGATAGACCTAGCAAGAGGCCTCAGGTTGTCCCGTATCAGCACAGAATTTCCCACAACCTGAAAAAGGTGGCGGGGAGGTTTGATGTCCCTGTCGTGTTTTCGGCGCCTCGTAAACTGGCACACCTTTGTTCTAAAGTAGCCGAGAGGAGGGGGGGTGGGAACCAATGCACTGTAAACCACAGAAAGAAGTACGTGGATTGTGCGATCGGAGTGGTGTACAGGATCCCGTTAAGCTGTGGAAGAGTTTACATCGGGCAAACGGGCCGTTGCATAAATGAAAGGGCACGCGAACATGACTGGTCGCTTAGTTCAACAGCAGGAGGGCATTTGCCCCTGCACTGCGGAACATGCAAATGTCATCCTGATTTCAATAAGATCACAATCATGGGGAGGGGAGTAGATAAAACAGCCAGGGAAATTTTAGAAGCGTATGGAATAAAGAAGGAGGGGGAACAGAACTGCGTGAGTCAAACTTCTGTGTATTTACATAAGAAGGAGATTACTTTCATGGACACGTGTTGATGCGAGTGTGTTTTTTTGTGGGTGTTTTCTTCGTTGGGTCCTTTTCAATAAATATTCAGTTGTCAGTTCAGCGCTCGTCCTGTGTACTCCTTTTCCTCCCGTCCTTGTCGTTTGCGCGCTGTTTCCATTATTTCTAAGTATATGTACACCTTTCCATACAAAGAGAACAATACATTTCTTAAAAGATCAGTAACTATAGACGCTTTGCAGCAGCTGTGCATGGACGCCGCCATAACTGACCTTCAGTTTTTGTTTCCTCTTATATCGTTTCGTTTACTTCATCATTACCATAGCAGGCCAGGTTATTGCCACATTAGATTCAACTGTGTCCTTTTCTAAAGCATCGGCCTTTGTAGAGGATCGTCAACTACTGTTTCAGTTGCTCGGCATCTCGGTAAGACAAGAGAAGGTCGGCAATGGCGGCTGTGATTTGGCGCGTGTGTAAAGCGTCTATAGTTACTGATCGTTTAAGAAATGCGGGACGTGACTCGTTACACTGACCGTTCTTGATTGGCTCTTTGGCCTCTTTACCTGTTAATGTTACAACTCATTGGCTAAGAAGCAGTAATAAGATTTGCATGACACGCCACACCCTGCGTTTCTTAAATTGTCAAATACTACTGCATTTACTCTTGCCTTTTTATACACCATCCTCCTTGATATTTCCATGACTTTCCTCTCGGTAGCAAGAGCCAAAACCCTCGAGATATCTCTTTAGGCTTTTTCGAATAGTTGCGTTTGAAGGTCGGTCCAGACACCTGCGTCTGACCGCGTAAAGACTGCTCGCGTATCGTGCTGTTGCTATGGCGACCCTTACTTCGACCCAATGGGGAGGCGCTGTGCTCAGTCTTCGACGCAACTGTGTGAACGAGCCTCGAGAAACCGACTACGCTAACGTCTCATGACGGCTTACGACGACGCAACACACCAGCGCCATCTATTGGGTTGCCCCGGAATACTTTTAATCTGCGTACTTTTTACGCCTTATTCTTTTTGTGTGAGATTTTACGAAATCCTGACAAAGTTATACTATACCATTTCTCATAGATAGTCCGCAGAGTTTATAACGTAAAATACTGCAAGACCTTCAGTCTATACTCCGTTTTACCTTACGTCCAGGCGCAGAGGATGCTACGAGCCATCGGAGCCAATCCAAGGCCACGTGAATGTCACGTGACCTTGGAGAGGGGGAAGAGAGACGCGCGGAAAGCGTATCACGGGCTACTTCCACTGAGTGGGATTGGGTGGGATAGATCGTAGCATCCGCTGCGTCCGGACATAATGTGAACGGAGTATACGCAACTCGAAAGGGTTCCATGTCTACCTGAGAGAAGGCGCTCACAACGCACACGCCGGCAGACTTGTACGTAACGCGTTACAAGTAATTGATTACTTGTAATCAATTACAGTCAAGTGTAATTTTGTAACGCTTCAATTACATTTGTCAAGCTGTAACGCTCGGAGTAATTCAATTACTTTTTTCTGTAATCAATTACAAAATCAATTACACAATTACCAATTACATTTTTCATTCCACAATTTTTTTTTCTCACAAAAATCAACATAGTCACTCAGCCATGGAGCAAAAATGATTGACATTTTTTTAACATCTAAAAAAATAAAACTAGGATTAGTCGGCAAATCCTTTTTTCTTTTGCGCCACGCTCTTCTACAAGCGCGCCACCAGCCTTGGCTGGGGAGTTCCGGATCTCGTTGCAGATTGCTGATAAAGTCGACGGGAAGCGGGAACTCGCTATTGACTTTTTAGTGGGCTTTGTTCCTTAGGTCAAAGCGTCAGCTACATGACAAGGTCCGGGTCTGAAAACAAAAAAGGGAACAATAACCAAACAAAATTGTGTACGCAATATTGTACTGTGTATTTGTGTATTTCTGTCATCGCAATAAGAAGTAACGTGAAAGTAACTTGAAAAGTAATCAATTACTTTGCAGTAATTGTTCAATTACTTCTGGGAGGCAGTAATCAGTAACGGTAATCGGTTACTTTTTTGACTGTAGTAATTGTAATTGTAATCAGTTACTTTTTTTCAGTAACGTGTACAAGTCTGGCACACGGTCACAGTCAAACGTCATTGGCTCAGCTTGCCTTTATTAGTTCGCGCGCCATATTAAACACAGTTTATACTAATTTTCAGGGCGATTCTGGAGGACCCCTGCAGTGTCCCAGGTCTGACGGCCTCTACGTGCTGGCGGGATTGACATCATGGGCTACCATATGTGCCGCTCCAGGTCAGCCTACTGTCTTCTCGAGGGTCTCAACGCAGCTGCCCTGGATTCAGCAAACTGCTGGAGCGACTCCATAACGGACTTGGCCTTCGCTGCATTTGATACATATTTATCCACTGTTTTTGTGTCCACTTTTTTGTGTAAATTAAATTTCAGCAAGATTTAAAAAAAAATGAAAGCCGCTTACAACTCCCTGTAACGCCGAATTAGAGCGCAGCTCTTGAGGAGGAGGAGGGAAGGGCACTGGGGGGGGGGGGTTAAACTAACCAGGGGGGGGGTCACGTTACCTTGGGGGTCACGTGACCCCCAATGCCGATGATGTCATCACTGACGTCACTGATGACGTCATCAGTGACGATGACGATGCGGGTACCGATGACGTCATTAGTGACGTCACTGATGACTTCACCAGTGATGATGACGATGACGATGCGAATGTCGGTGACGTCATCAGTGACGTCGCTGATGACGTCATCAGTGATGATGACGATGACGATGCGGATGCCGGTGACGACATCAGTGACGTCACTGATGACGTCATCAGTGATGATGACGATGACAATGCGGATGTCGGTGACGTCATCAGTGATGATGACGATGACGATGTGGATGCCGGTGGCGTCATCAGTGATGATGACGATGACGATGTGGATGCCGGTGACGTCATCAGTGATGATGACGATGACGATGTGGATGCCGGTGACGTCATCAGTGATGATGACGATGACGATGCGGATGCCGGTGACGTCATCAGTGATGATGACGATGACGATGTGGATGCCGGTGACGTCATCAGTGATGATGACGATGACGATGTGGATGCCGGTGACGTCATCAGTGATGATGACGATGACGATGCGGATGCCGGTGACGTCATCAGTGATGACGATGACGATGTGGATGCCGGTGACGTCATCAGTGATGATGACGATGACGATGTGGATGCCGGTGACGTCATCAGTGATGATGACGATGACGATGTGGATGCCGGTGACGTCATCAGTGACGATGACGTCATCGGGGGGTCACGCGACATCGGCGGGGGTCACGTGACCTCGAGGAGGGGGCCACGTGACCTCAGGGGAGTCACGTGACTTCGGGGGGTCACGTGACCCCCCACGAGGTCACGTGACCTTGGTGGGGGGCTCGCGCGGTGCATTATGGGACATTTCCCATGATGCACCGCGCGGTTACGCCGACGCCGACGCCGACGCCGACGCCGACGGCGACGCCGCTCAAGCCGGAAACGGGCCCCTAAGAGCTGCGCTCTAAAATTACCGATGACTTTTGAATGACAAAACGGTCAGTACTGAAACTTTGGCATCTGACTCGGACAGCTAGCGCTACATTTTTGGTGGAGAAAGCGTTCGGCGATGCGGAGTTTATTGTTATGGTGAAAAAACCAGCTAACTTTCCGGGGTACCCTGTATGATTTTCTAACTTGTCTAAAGACGCAATGGGAATATACGCCAAAAGAACCAGGACAAAAATATGAGTGGCACAAAGGATAGGAACATCCTGTCATTTGTGCGACTCATCTTCTTGTTCTCGCTTTTTTCTTTCATATATCCCCTTTAAGAATCAGAACCCACTAGCTCAACTCCCAGTCTAAATATATGCCTAAAGACAGACTTTTTTTTCTGACCAATGGGACAGGACCTTTAAACAAGAAAGAAACACCTCTCAGGCATCATTTGTGAACTGTGTTTTTCGTGATGTGTGAGTGCGGCTTCAAGGAACTGATCAGACCCGTTCGTGGTTTTGACTCGGTGTCTTGGCTGATGGCAGCAGAATTCCTTCGTACGGCGGAAATCATTAATGGGGGCATATACATTTATAAAGAAAAAGCGACTACAAAGCCGCGGTCTTTCTCTAGACGCGTTAACGGTTATAAATTCGACAAATTGTTTAACTATGCATAAATTTCTAGGTGCGTGAGCTTTAGATGTTAGAGTCTCAATTAACTCCAATTTTCGATCTTGCAAGCACAATTATTGGTCCTGCTCACCAGCTAATCGCCTCAAGTGCGGATTAACTCGTTCATGATGGTACCATCGCGAACTTTGGCTTCGCGACAGTGCATCGCTTCATACGTGAAAACTCTCTACCGTGGAATTCTAGGCGCATTTGTGACGGGTCTACACCGCCTAAACAGAAGGCCTCCGCATGGTCTCCTCTCCCTCTATGAAACGTCATCAGAGTTGGATGGCGCTAACTCGGCTATAGGGCCCGAGCCCGACCTTCGAGGCGCTGATTGGATACGAGCCCCAACCGAACACTGACTCAGCACTCGTGCCCAATCTCGCGCCTCGATAGATTTGACTGTGATGACGCGTGCGGAGGCCTTCTGTCTAGGTGGTGCTGGACGGGCAGGGTGAGATCGGCCGGGAGGAGCTTCGGTAGTCCCACCTCCAGCGGGCCCTTTCTACCTTCGACTAGGGGCCTCGCGCCGCTCGAGCGCGGACTTCCAGCCAAAGCACGGTGGAAGGCATGGAGCTCGTGCTGGAGGTCATGCGCTCAAAATACGCGCCCTGCCGTTCTCACTTTGTCCATCCCCAATAGTCTGTGGCATCCTCTGCTTGCGCCATCTCTTAGCTGGTTACGGCAGCGCTCCCATAGAAGCCCCGCATATATGACCATGATACCGAAATGTTACGCTTTATACAATTTTCTATGCTACTATTTCTTTCTATCATATACCGCAACTATTGTGCCGAAGTTTCAAGATGATGACGTGTAAAGTTCCTCCGTCAAATAAACGTTTCAATCTGCCACTACGGATAGTATGAAAGTAGATCAAAATGTACACTTCATACTTCTGCATAAAAAGCTCGTCGTTATTTTAGAAACATAATTAGAATCCCTCCCCAACATTTTGGCGAATTTTTAGTCTCTAAAATGTGTATTACATCTGTACAAAAATATATTTCGCATGCACCTCGCGACAGTTTTTAAGAAACAGCGAAGCTCAAACGAGCACAATATACAGTAAACCAAAGTAATCGATAATGTGCTGGTTATATTTTGTACTTTTGTTTCCTCACAAAATTTGTTTCTTGGGTTCTTGAGATCAATTTGCAAAATAAGGTGGATTTGTTCTCGTTCAGACGTTTACGATAATTTTCAGTATTCTGCTACTGACGTCGATTAACTAGCAAAACAAAGACAGCTGTTTTTTTTACGTTGATCTAAAATTACAAACAAGAAAGTTTTCAAATTATTCTCGCTTCTTATTCATGTTATGTGATTACAACAAAGTGATTTTTATTGTAGCGTGTGGAAGCACTGCGGTGAGTACCAAACGTATGACGGGATGATATTGTTCTTGTGGAATGAATATTCACATATCAAAACTAATAATTAATCACGTACTAAATGTTTACATTAAATTAATTATCCCAATCGCCCTAAACACAAACAGCAAAAGTAAAAAAAGAAAAGAATATAAAAAATAGCGTATTGAAATATCGGACTTGCTATCGCATTCGTCGAAGGGGGCCGAAGCCCAAGGTTTTCAAATGGCTCCGGCTTGTATTCGGCGTCCCTAAAATTTGTATTTCGTCATCAGTTGAAAACACGGTTGACCTCAAAACATCCCCGGAGAAGGCGCGGGTCCCCAAGTTTGAAATGACGCACGAATGCCAGAAAACAGTCAAACCATGTGCACTTCAAGACAAGGTTTCTTAAAAATGGCTCATTTTAGAGGATTCTCCATCCCCCCCCCCCCCCCCCCCCCCCCCCCCCGAAATCTTCTATTCTGTTGGGGCCTGCTCTCCCCCTCCCCTCATACAGCAATTTGTCGTGGGCGAACACCCGCACCGCCCCCGCCTCCTGGCTGCGTGCCTGGTCATAGTACCAGAATCCTGGCTACGTGCCTGGCCATAGTACCAGTATGTGCTCGAGGGCTCTATATTTTATTTTCCGTCTTTAGTTGAAGACTGCAATGTCCTCAAAACGTTCCCTGTAGACGCGCGGGTGCTCAAAATTCAAAAGATAAACGAATGCGAGCGTAGAAACGGCCGAACCATCTCTACTTTGAGACCGGTTTGCTCATGAAGATTCTACTTTGAAGTATTGGTTACGGTACCAGGGTAGTCCCGAGGGCTCTATATATTAGGGCGTAGCTTTTAGGCGCCCGTTTCAGGGTTTCGCAGCGTCGGCGTAACCACACTAAATTTAGCGGGAAAATTGACGTCAAGTGACCTCAACCGCAATTTAATTCCCCGTTGAATTTAGCGGGAAAACTAGGGAGTTTTCGTAGACCGCGTTCCCCTCTCCGCTATAAGCCCTCCGCATCGAAGCCGCTACTGCCCCCGCGCTCCTGTGGCCTCCACTGTAGAGTTCCGGGTATCGTAGGGTATTGCGGAAAGCGTTGCGGGACGGCAAAAACGATCTACGAAAACTCCCTATTGACGTCACGTGACCTCAACACCAATTCAGTCTCCCCGCTCGATTTAGCGGGGAAAATGACGACACATGACTCTTTGTCACGTCGACTATGATCAAATTCAGTTTCTCCGCTAGATTTAGCGGGAAAATTGACGCCACGGGACCTCAGCAGAAATTCGATTCCCCGCTGAATGTAGCGAGAAAATTGACGCCACTGGCCCTGAACACCAATTCACTTTCCCCGCTAAATTTAGTGGAGAAATTGACGTCAGATGGCTTGGTGCTATGAACAAGTTCAGTTTCTCCGATAGATTTAGCGAGGAAATTGACCTCACGTGCTAATGAGGAGGGAAAGCTACGGAGGAAAGGTGGAGTGAGAGGAGGAGGGGGGAGGAGGAGGGGAGGAGGAAATGACGGGAGGGCGAGGAGCAGAGGAGGACGGGAGAAGGCGAGGAGGAGGGGAGGAGCAGGAGGGGCGTACCCTCCCCTGCTCCTCCCCATGAGCTGCGCTCTAAGTTCGCGTTACAGAAATGTGTAAACGTCTTGAATTTGTATATTCCTTAAAAGATTAAAACAGCGCAAAACAAAACGACGGACTGGATGAAGGAGGACACAGACAGAGCGCTGACTCGCAACTAAATTCGAGCCCAGTCACTAAGTTTGAGGTTCACCGATCTGCCTGCTAACC